GTCCCTAGTTACCCAAGCTGAGGATGCGCTAAAGGAATAGGAAACAAGAAATACAATTCAATTTGCAGCCTCAGTGAACAGGTCAATTTGCATTTAAATGTCTTGCGGTCAAATGGTCCGAGAACCACCTGGTTTCGTTAAGCTTGAGCAATACTTCCCGAGAGTTGACCTATACTGCTTGTGCAACACCTCTCTGGAACAGTAATATGTCACACATTATACATCATAAGAACAAACATTAACTATCTTATACATAATTATTCCAACAACTTCACTTTGCTTTGCAGCCAAAGTTTAAAAAAACGAAGAAAGATGAAATTGAAGTCCAGGCATTCGGGGTCACATCACAGGAACGGAAAAAGCGAGGACGACAAAACGGAAGACAGCGAGGATGAAGGCAAGCCAGAAGACAAAAAGCCCGCCAAACTCTTGGCTCCGGGCTCCCTGATGACCCAGATCTCCTCCACAGACAACACTCCTCCAGAGACAAAGGAAAGCTGTCCAGTAGCAATGGAAACCATCCAAATAGACGACGACCAAACGGATGACAGTGAAGATGAAAGGCTCCCCGATAATCCAACGCTCTCCAGGCTGTCATTTATGAACACGCAGATTTCTGCTTACGCTTCAAAGGAAACTACTACTAAGGTGCAGAAAACACTCCCAGATGCAAAGGCGAGCACCCAGGTGGATGATGACGAAACGGAGGACAGCGAGGATTACGATGACCATGACAGCGTAAATTCTTCTCAGCTGAACTCTACCATATGGGATAACGAGGCGAGGAAAAACATAGCCAAAGAAAAGCCACGCGTGTCAGGGAAGGAGGAAGTCAAACCTCCAGAAGCAAAGAGAAAGCCAAATATCGAAGAAGTAGAGATTTTGGACAGTGAGGAAGGAGATGATGATAGTAAAGCAGAGTCCAGCAGACGCTCGTCCCTGCAGTCTCAAATACCAGGTCAGGATGTAAAGCAGAACTCCACCACAGAAAACACGAACGTGAAGCAAAATAAGATAAATCCTGAAGCTGTAAAGACAAACGCCCCGACAGAGCAGGTGGAAATCAGCGACGCTGACGGTGATAATGAAGACTCGTCAAAGTCGGACACGGTGAAAGAGAAGAAGGAGCAAACCTGCAGAGTGTGCAGCTTGATCCTCCTGTCCAAGCGCCTTCTGATTAGACACGCGTGGAAGCATTTGAACCACAAGGACCAGCTCTGTGGAGTGTGTGGAATGCAGCTGGACTCTGCAGTAGAGCTACAGATGCACCTCCAGAAATACCAGAATACTCACAACTGCAAGATCTGCTGCAAGCGTTTCATCTCCAAAGACGGCTACAGGAAACACATGAGACGGCACAAAGGTAAGGGACGGGATACACGCCGTGAAGTTTTCTCTCTATAGGGTGTCTATGTGAAGGGGGAACTGTTGAGTGGGGTTGGTCAGAAATGACAGGAAACATTAGATAAACAAGATTTTCACTTCAAACAGCCCTGCGCTTGAATTATTGTGCAATATATCCATGAATGGATACATCAAGAAAAAGCTTCCAAAAAATTTTTAAAAACAACATTCCACTGGACTTTGCTTCCAAGTTTGAAGAATTTTCGCTTCCCATCCCTCTAACGACCCCCTTTCAGGGACATAGACCAGTATCGGGTATAACAAGCTAACAAAGAAGCCAAACGACCCCCATTCCTAAGGGGCGGTTCGTCCGGTTCAATTTGCATCGTTTCTAAGCCAAAACTAGGCTTTTGTCTTTGGTCCACTCTATAACGCCTCGAACTCAACGCTATTTCTGACATTTTGTGTGGAAAAGCTTACTGGATGGGAAGCGAAATGTCTTGAAACTTGGAAACAAAGTCCAGTGGATTGTCTTTTAACTTGTTTGGAATCACTATTAAGAAAAAGCAGAATGGCATAGATTTATTTCCCATACTTCAGAGCTTGTATATTAAATACTCAAAGAGTTTAAGGCTCTATGAATGATGAATATTTTTTCTAACCTTACAAACAAGAATAGCCCAATAGAGAATGTTCCCGTTCACTCTTGGTCAACTTTAGGCCGGCCATCCCGGCAGGAGGACACAGACCTCGTTACTCTTGTGCTCTGACCCCTCCTTGTATGGAGAAGTTCGGTCAACAAGGAATGATCAATGGATCATTATTTATACCTAAAACGAATATGTTCCCAGTGATTTAATGAACTTAGCGTTAATCAGTAAAAAAAGGAAAACAATTTTTGTTGCGATCAATGAGTCTGGGAGCGGCAATTTTTCGCCAAATATAGTAACTCCTCCCCCCTGCCATCTTCCAGCAGTGACGTCACGGTGCGGTAAGCCTAGCGCCATTCTCCCCGCTTTACAAGCTAAATCAATGGGAACTACTAGACACATCTGCAATCAACAACAATTATTGAAGATTTCCAGAGGACTTCACCATTGAAATTCACCAG